GGGAGGAATTTTGAAGTTCCAAAAGGCCTTAGAAGGCTGCGGGCCGCAAGGCTCCAACAGTCTTTCGGAGGCACTACAGCTTGTAAAGGCTCGGGGGGGGGGGGGGGGAGGGCAACCTAAACCCCAATCCCACTGGGCCCCCTTTTCTCTTCTTGGAGGCTAGAAGAAATATTTTACGGGCGCAACCTTGCAGCTCCAAAAAGCTTTAACAAGCCCCGCCGAAAGGCTCAAAAACGTTGCCAAGAAAGCCAAGAAAGGCACCAAAAAGGTGCACAACAAAAAGGCCAATGTTGGGGCCTCTGAAGGCCAAAACTGCCTTCGCAGCCCCAAATTGGTTTCAGCAGGAAAAGGCTTCAAACAGCTACAAAGTGCTGAAGTGTTCAATTTTCTTAAACCTCCTTGCCCTGTACAGGCACAAAGCCCAAAAGTTTTCTTTGTTCGATTTACTTAAACCTCCTCGCCGACCCAGTCACAAAGCAACTGACGACAACTCAACAAAAAGCTGCGCTGGCGCACAAGGGCGAAGCCCCTAAAAGTTTAGGGTTTAGGGTTTAGGGTTTAGGGTTTAGGGTTTAGGGTTTAGGGGGGTTTAGGGTTTAGGGTTTAGGTCGCAGTCCCCGGCCCTTTTGGTCCACAGGATGAGACTTGGAGCGAGCTCCCAAACCAACACCTGCGAGGAGGCCGTCCCCTGCAGTCATCTTGCTGCTCATCTAGGAATGTCAGGGTTTAGGGTTCAGGGTTGAGGGTTTAGGGTTAGGAGACATGTAACTTCCTGCCCCTGGATATGCAAACTGCAAACCTCCCCCCCAAAATGACCCCCTTTGTTATACGTGAGGTGGCCCAATGAGGCTCTTGTGTTTGAGCTTCGATCGGGGTTGGGGAGCCTGTGACCAGCCGACCACGAAGTGTTGGTGTTTGCTTCTGAGCTATGACGCCTTTGCAGGGGGTCCCCCAAAACAGTAGCCTCCTTTTGGTTTCTGCAGGGCTCCAGGTTCCCGAAACGCGATGTAAAAAAAAACTATTCTACCCCCCCTAGCACGGAATGTTCCGACTGTTGTATACAAAAGGTATTATGGCAAGCATTTCCCTGATTTTGGCCGCACAGGGCTGCTGCTCCTCCGCGACGGCTCTGCGCTGGAGGTGCTCCCCCTTTGAGTTCTTCAGGGGTTCTGTGCAGGCTCGGTAGGACCTCTTGACAGGTTCGCATCTCCCTCTCTTGGGGTTTCAGAGGATCCTAGTGAGGATTTCTTGAAGGAGGTTGTTCAAGGGCCCAAGAAAGAAGAAGAAGAACGGGGTTGGCCAGGCCATGAGAGGGAAATCGAGTTGGGCAGTTTATTCTGCTTAGGGTTCGGGGTTTAGCGGTTGAGGGTTTAGGGAGAAGGCTCCCCTTTTTGCAGCTACCTGGTTTCATCATCGAACACACCCCCGCGCAAGCGACCCCTTCTTGAAACAACCCCCAAAATCCCTGCAATCTCCTACAATCCCCAAAACCTGAAGCCCCTGAACCCCTTCACCTTAAACCCAAACAGCTCTCCAACCCTAAACCCCCCCCCCCCCCCCAAAAAAAAAAAAACTAAACCGCCACCCCGCCCCCCCCCCCCCCAAAAAAAACAAAAAAAACAACCTAACCCCCCTCACAGGTTTCGTCTGCCGTCTGAAGGGCAGGGAGACCTCCCAATCCCCAGGCAGCGGGCCTCCTCCGCACCGCAGCCGAGACAAAGAAGCGCCAGGAGAGAGCTTCGTGGGCGAGCTTAGGGGGGTTTAGGGTTTAGGGGGTTCGGGGTTTAGGGTTTAGGGTTTCAGGGGTCTAGGGGTTTAGAGTTTAGGGGTTTAGGATTTAGGGTTTTAGGGGTTTAGGGTTAGGGGTGCAGGGCAGGGCCTGTGTAGGGCCCAGTTGTGAGGGTTTGGTACGAAGAGCGTAGGGTTTTGCAAGCGCTTGGATTGGCATTTGGGGTTTTGGGAGGGGGAGTAGGTAGGGTTCGTCTCGGGGTAGATTTGGGCTGTATTTATGGCGGCATGCTGTTAACGAACTTAAGTTAGATGAAGTTACCAAAAGTCTGGTAAATGGTGAACAACAATACGGCCAGATGCTTTGTCACCAAAAACTCAGAAGAGTGCCGCGCATGGCTAAACTCCAACCAGGGCTTGGAACAAAGCCCACTTCAAACCCCAAAAAGCCGCTGCTTTCTAAAGCCCAGATCGCTGGAGCCCTAAACTCCCCAACCCCTCCAAGAAGGAGCAAAATCCGAAGCAGCGGGTGCGGGCCGAGCGCGCCCGCCAGGAGAAGCCAGCTGTCAGAGCGCTCTTGCGTTTGTGAGCACCTTACTTGGAGGTTCATGGTACTTAGTAGCCCAGTTACAAGTGTAGTTATGACCCACTTCTAAGCCCCTTCAGTACCCTAATGGGGTTATAATGGGGTTATAAGTACAGTTATAATTGGGTTACTAAGTACCATGCACCTCCAAGTAGGGTTCGGACAACACCCATAAGTCATGAAGCCTCCTCTTTAAAAGCTCATTCAAGTGTTGGTTAGGTCAGGGGGGAAGTTTGAAATTTATGGGCTACCCTACTTACACGTACCTCTACGTGTCAATAGGGACTTCGCAACTTCTACTCCCGCATATCCAGAGCGTTCATAGCCTTCATATCAGCCTGCAGCCCGAGACCCAACACCCAACTCCTTACCACCCCAAGCAACCCAGCAAACCCCCCCTAACCCCTAAAAACCCAAAGATATGTTTTCACACCCCCCAAAATCCCCCCAAGACCCCCTGAACCCCTGAACCCTTCAACCCTAAACTCCCTTAAGCCCTAACCCTAAACTCGAAACCCTTAAACCCCAAACTCCCTAAACCCCTAGGCCCCCAAGCCCTCCTTTGTCCTCAAGCTACCTTCAACTCCCTAAACTCCCTTAAACTTCCCTAACAGCCACCCTGAGCCCCCCCCCAAGACCCCTAAAACTCTTGAACCCTCAAACCCTGAAACCCCCAAAACTGCCTTAAGCCCCTCAACACCCTTAAACCCTAACCCTTAAGCCCTTGAACCCTTAAACTCCCTTAAGCTCCCTTACACTTCCCTAGCAGCCCCCTCCACCTCCTTCAGAGGAACCCTAAACCCTAAGCCCTGAACCCTTCAACCCTAACCCCTAAACCCTAAACCCTAAACCCTAAACTCCCCTAACCCTCCAAAACCGCTTCGGAGGAGCTCCTGAGGCGCCGGCGCCTCGCTCGCGAGGCGGGTGCCAAGCGCCCGCGCGGCGAGAGGAGCCGAGGGGGGAAGATTCGTCATCGGGAACTTCCATTTTGGGGCGTTTACGCGCTTTTGAGGGGTTTAGGGTTTGGGGTTTCGGGTTTAGGGTTTAGGGTTTAGGGTTTGTATGGGCTTTGAGGGCTTTTGAGGGGCTTTCGGGTTTGAGGGGGGTTGAGGCTTTAAGGGGTAGAAGGAGGGGCCAGGAGGGGCGGGACAAAATGCCTCGAAAGATTCGTGGCTTCAGGCTTCAGGGTTTTTTTGGCTTTTGGAATTAGGATTGTGGTGTTTAGGAGTTCTTGCGCTCAGAGGGAATGAGACTTTCGGGGGTATGGACTCTGGTTTTGGGCTTAAGTGTTTTTAGCGAGCAGCATCGCGTTTCCTTTTAGCCTTCTGCTGATAATCTGAAAACCGAAGGATTAACATAAGACTTTAAGGTTTTCCTTATGCTTGTCAGGGGAGTATAGGGTTTGGGGTTTTCTGGGCTTTGGGTCCCCCCAAAACACCCGCAAGCCCCAAATGCTCTAGGGTTTCGGGTTTAGGGTTTAGGGTTTAGGGTTTAGGGTTTAGGGTTTAGGGTTTAGGGTTTAGGGTTTAGGGTTTAGGGTTTAGGGTTTAGGGTTTAGTAGAGAACACAGACATCTGCAGGTGTGCAGTAGGCGTGTAGTCTCCTTTGGCCAAGGCGCTACACGCGTGCCGAGACCGAAGCCAAGGCCCCGGAGCTGTCCGCGCCTCGAAATCGCACCGGGGGTTTAGGGTTTAGGGTTTAGGGTTTAGGGTTTAGGGTTTAGGGTTTAGGGTTTAGGGTTTAGGGTTTAGGGTTTAGGGTTTAGGGTTTAGGGTTTAGGGTTTAGGGTTTAGGGTTTAGGGGGGTCCACGCGGAGGAGGGCTAAGAGAGCTACTGCGAGAGAAATCGAGAAGCTGTGACCTTGCGCTTCGTGAGAGGGGCAAGTGAGGTTTCGGGCCAACAACAGCAATGCCTGTGAGGTCAGATGCCTCCCCAAAATTCTGGGAAAGGATCGAAAGCACTCCCCTCATCCCAGGCCCAATGCGTGCCGGCATTTCTTCTCCGAGAGAGGCATGTGGCTGACCTGGCTGATAGCAACTTTGGCCTTGAAGCTTTTATTATGTACGATTTAGTATATAAATATCTATATGTATACTATACTAGACATAAACTATATAGGTGCATGATATAACACTTGTCATTCCTTATATATTATATATTCTACATGTTTTAGGGCCAGGGACACGAACCCTGACGAAACCTGGCAGGCTGCTCGCGTGGAGACAACTGCCGCTTCTCTCACGGCACTGGCAGCGCAGAAAAGGCTGCAAAAACCTCCAATTTCTACTCTTTGCTTAAGAACCTGCCCGAAAAAGGAAATAATCCCTATATTGCCCGATAAGGAAGACCATTTGGGGGGGCTGAAGCAATTAGTAGATTAGTGCCAGCACGACGGAAATGTTTTAGATGGCAGAGAAGGTATAAGACCGCCCTCTGCATCCTTAGAATGTTGTTTTTTTGTGAACACCCGTAAGGTCTTTGGGTCGGGGCTAGTTTGTTCACTCCAAGTTTGGCATCCGGCTAGGTTCCTTAACTCAAAATGCTGTCAGCAGGAGGTGTGTTGACAACAATCGACCGCATGTTGACGAAGGTAAGAAATCCTAGTGATGGTTTTCGCTTCCTGTCAAAGGTCCACTGAACGCACACATGAAGCAGGTTGAACTGTCTTAGCAGATGAGGTGCAAGCATGCGCATGGAAGTTCAGCACGTTCCCTGGCCCCTTGCACGCGAGCTGTGCAGCTTCCGAGTCCTGCTCACTGCTCAAAGACTCATTTTCCACTGTGCTTGCCAGAGATCAGGGTTCAGGGTTCAGGGTTCAGGGTTTTCGGTTTAGGGTTTAGGGTTTAGGGTTCAGGGTTCAGGGTTCAGGGTTCAGGGTTTTCGGTTTTGGGTTTAGGGCCCCTTTGAGTCCTTGTGGCCGCTCTCGGCTCAAACTGAGAATGGATCCAAGCAGCTGCGGGGCCCTCCAGTTTCACCCGCGCACGGAGGCAGGGGGGTGGGGTCTTCTCCCCTTCTGGTCTAGGATTTTTTTTGGGGGGGAGGGGGGGGATTTTTAAGAGTCTAGGGATTTTGGCGGGGTTTTTTATGGTATTCTCAAGAAAGGCTCGCAAGATTCTCTACACCGCATCCCCAGGACTTGAATCGACCGAAGGGCTAGCCCTCTAAGCGCTGCGCCAAAAGAGCATCCCTATAGCCCCAAAACCCAGAAAGGATGCCCTAAATGTCCCAGTATAAGCCCTACATCCGAAAAACCCCCCAACTCTTGTTCACCCGAAATACCCCTCAATTTCACCCTGTAGCCCTAAAAACCCCATCTGTTTTCTTCCCTAAACCCTAAACCCTAAACCCTAAACCCTACGCCCTAAATCCTAAATACCCCCAACTCTTTTTCCCCCCCCTAAGACCGGAATTTTGAGCATTTGAGCAAGGGCCGCCGATGGCCGCGGCAGAGGCCGCGGAGGACCCGGGAGGCAAAGCTGGCCAGAAGGTTCGGGTCTTTTAGGGTTTAGGGTTTAGGGTTTCGGGTTTAGGGTTCCCTAAACCCTAAAAAACCCTAAACCGGGCTATCTGGGGTTTGATGGGATCATGTTGGGTCGGTTTGGGGGTGTAGGGTCGTCGAGTTATATCGGGTTACTATAGGGGTTAAGCTAGGGCTATGTAGGGTTACCTATAGGGTTATTCAGGGTTACGCAGGCTTATGCAGGGTTATACGGAATTATAGAGTCTCATAGGGTGATGATGTTTTTAGGGTTTAGGGTCTGGAGTTCAGGTAGAAGAGCAACCTGCTTGGACGCATATAAGCAGGGGAAAACGCGAGAGAAGAGAGCCCACACTGCAACCCAATTAAACATTGCTGCGGGTCTGCAACCCCCCTCATCTTGATCCACCTTCTACAAGGGGAGCTATGCTTCTGCTTTGTGCGGCATTTGTGGGAGGCCAAAACCCTCCTAAGCCCTAGGGGCACCCCTTAAAGGCATGTACCTGTGCTCCTCCTGCCCTGTGTCTTAAGCAGCCCTACCCTACATAACCCTGTATAACCATAACCCGATGACCCTATATAACTCTATAACCCTACACAACCCTACAACAACCCAACATGACTTCAAAGCGACAGAGCCGAGGCACCGGGGAGGGCCTCGCAGGCACCCACACCTGGTCCAAGCCGCAGGGCGACAAGCAGCATGAGAACTTCAGGCGCCAGAATGGGGGGGGGGGGGGGGGGGGGGTTTAGGGTTTAGGGTTTGGGGTTTAAAAGGTTAGGGTTTAGGGTTTAGGGTTTGGGGTTTGGGGTTTGAGGTTTGGGGTTTGGGGTTTGGGGTTTGGGGTTTAAAAGGTTAGGGTTTAGGGTTTAGGGTTCCGGGGGGAGGCTTCAAGGCTTCAGGCTTTCGCCTTTCAACGTAAACATCTCCCAACAGAGACGGGGGGGGGGGGGGGCTGTATCTTTAACAGCCCCCCACTATACGATGGTCCTTGTGAAAAGCCCTCCGTTGGGAAGCGGAAAGACCCCCCCACCCATGCCCCGCAGCACCCCAGGGGCTTTCAAAGCACCCGCAAAGCGATTTAGGGTTTGGGGTTGAGGGTTGAAGGTTTAGGGTTTAGGAAAGTTCGGGTTCGATGTTTTTCGATCTGGCTAAGCCAGGCTGCTGTTGTTGCCTTGCGAGTTCGGGTTCAGCTCCTCAGGCAAGTTGGGTTCCCCACTTAAGACCTTTCGCTTTGCTTGGCAGGTATAACAATGTTCGATTCCTGCAAGAGCAGAACAAGGAGGCACAGTGCGAGTCAGTGCGAGTCCTTAGGGTGCTCAGGTTCGCTTCCGCAGAGTCTCATTGGGGGGGGGGGGGGGGGGGGGGGAGAGCTTCCAGCACATGCAAAAAAACATTGGCTTGGTTAACTCTATCAAGACTAGCCCTCATGAAGAACCATGCCACTGTGTTTAACACAAAGTGGCAACAACAGCCCTAAGCCCGAAACCCGAAACCCTAAACCCGAAACAAACCCAAAAAATAAAAACCTAAACCCTAAACCCTAAACCTAAACCCTAAACCCTAAACCCTAAACCGGGCTAAGAAAGCATTTCCGTCTGTCCCCAGGCGACCAAGGCCCTCGACCGAGTCGAGGAGGAACCCCCGAGCTGATGGCGACAGCTCTCCTCTGGGGTTTAGGGTTTAGGGTTTAGGGTTTAGGGTTTAGGGTTTAGGGTTTAGGGTTTAGGGTTTAGGGTTTAGGGTTTAGGGTTAAGTCCGTAAACCCCTAAAACCCCTAAACCTTTATTATACATACGTACACAGATGTAGCTATGTGTTTTTCATATATATACTTGATATAGATATCGGAATAGATATAGATATAGATAGACAATGTTTGTCTAAGTTTACATGTTTTTTATCTACACCCTTGAGAAGGAAGGGATGGTGTAGGGGACCCTTTTGTTTCTCCTAGCTCCCTATTCGAAGCTAGCAAGCGGGGACGTCGGGATGCGGGGGATCAAGGGGTTCAGGGTTTTAGGGGTTCAGGGAGTATGTGGGTCAGGGGTGTAGGGATTAGGGGGTTAGTTAGGAATTCATGGGTTTGGAAGTTGGTGCTTGGGAGTTCCGGGTTTCTTCGTTAAGCTTGCCTTGTCGGGACTGCAAAGAAATGGTAAAGAGCTGGTGGGCCTTTCATCCCAAAAACGGCCGGCGAGCAACATTTGGGCCTTTTAGTGGTTTTGGGGGTTTGGGGTTCAGGGTTTAGGGTGGACCCTAAACCCTAAACCCTAAACCCTAAACCCTACATCCTTGGAGGGTAGGCTTGGGAGCCCCTTACGCCAGGAGCGCGACGAAGCCTTCGCCGCCATTGCGCAGTGGGAGGCCGGGGGGCTGGAAGTCAGCGTAGAACTCCTATACTTGCACTCGGGGGCGTTTAGTTAGTGTTTAGGGTTTAGGGTTTAGGGGGGTATTTCGAACCCCCCTAAGCTGCACTTATCAAGACCTGCAAAAGCGGCGCCAAAAACTGCCAAGAGGGCTCCTGCTGACGAAATCGAAGCCTAACCTGAGCCTCACTCAGCACACCGCACCCTGAACCCTCAAACCATCCCTCAAAAAGAACCCTAAAACCCTAAACACCCCTAAAGTCATCTAGAAACCCGAATAGCTTGCACCCTTCAAACCGTCCAAAAAAATCCGAAAACCCTAAACACCCCTAAACACCCCTAAACACCCAAACGCCCTTAACGCCATCTAAAAAGGCCTAAAACCCCAAACACACCCCCTAAAACCATCTTTAGAAAACCCCAGAAACCCCTAAACACCCCAAAAACACTCTTGAAAAATCCGAAGAAACCCTCAGAAACCCCAAACATCTCTAAAAACATCCTTAGAGAACCTTAAGAAATCCTCCAGGAGAGGCGCCAGCACATCCAGTTGGAGTATCAGAAGCTGCAACAGGAGCTGGCGGACACTGAGGCGCGCAGCTGGGGCCCCAACAAAAAGAGTCAGGGTGCTTAGTAGGGCTTTAGGGGCTTTTGGGATTTAATAGGGTGTTTAGGCTGTAGGGGCTTTGGGGGGTAGGGCTTGGGGTGTTTTGGGGTGTTTCGGGGTGGCTTTAGATGTGTGCGTTTTCTGGCTCTGGTGGAGAGTTTGCTGGCAGCAGCTTTTTTCTGCTCGTTCGCCGAAAGCTGCGACGCAGGAGAAGTGCAACATCTCCGCCGCCGAGATCCACAAGCTCCTGGTTTGCAGTTACTGAGGAGGTTCATATCCCGAGTCCTTTAAACTCAATGGCCAGCAGGCATTACGAACTTCGGCGGGGGGCGGCAGGCCATTTACAATCATTTTTTAGCAAAAGAGCCAGGTCTACTGTGATGAGACAGGTACGTAGTCTCAGCAGCAGGGGCAGATCTTTCTGTACTTGGGGAGCTCATCAGCCGAGGCGCGATGAGCAGATTCGGGTCCTCTCCGAGCAGAACCGCTCCCTTCTGGACCCCCACCACTTCTCGCAGCGTTTCGTTGAGCTAGAGGGGTTTTAGATGCCGTATGTTGCCAGGATATGCTGGAGGAGGAGGAGCGGACCGTGAAGGAGCGGCAGGCGCAGGCTCGCGGAGTGGGGGCCAGTCAGGCAGATGGGCAAAGGGTCAAGCCAATTGCCTTCTGGCAGGCCCAAGATCTCATGATCACGCAGGCACCCGCTCGGGCTTCACTGCACTGGGCTTGAGCTTAAGGTGTGAATTAGGTCTTATTCAGAGCGAGGGGGGCCATGTGATGTGGTTTAAAGACGGCCGACGATGATTCATCTGTTCAGCTGCACACAACGGGGCTTTAAGTTTGATGACCTCATTCCCGACGTCCCGCTCATGTGCATCCTCTCAACTGCAGGCTTCCAGCTGTTGAAAGACGCTGAAACACGATGCTTGTGACAGCTGCCAGGATCGCCTTCAGAAGATCTCAGACGAGTACAACCTTGTCAAGGCAACAGGCGCACGGGCCCAGAGAGAGAGAAGTGAGGGTTTGGGGTTTAGGGTTTCGGGTTTAGAGTTTCGGGTTTAGGGTTTAGAGGTGGCCTTCCTATATATATATATATGTATATATATATATATATATATCTGTATATGTATATGTATATGTATAGACATATATATATATACATATATATAAAGGGGTCGTGTATGGGTTCTCTAGGGGAGTAAGAATAAGGGTCTCTCCTAGGGGGGCCCTCCTTACCCCCCCCTTTTCTATTCTCACTTTCTTTGAGTCACTTAAAAGGCCAGCAGCAGCTCCTCGGAGCCTACAATGAGATTGCCAAGTTCGAGGAGGCCGCCGAGATGCCACCCAAAGACTAGAAAAGACGAGGTTTAGGGTTTGGGGTTGGTTTGGGGTTTAGGGTTTGGGGTTTGGGGTTTAGGGTTTGGGGTTTGGGGTTTGGGGTTTGGGGTTTAGGGTTTAGGGTTTAGGGTTTGGGGTTGCCTTCTACTTCCAGGGGCCTTGGGCCCAAGTGTGTTCTGCGCCCAATGAGGGGCTCTTTGTAACCGAATTCTTAGGTCCCCCCCCCCCCCAACAAAAACAAACAAAACACAAAAGCATCCGTGGGAACAAATTTGGTTGCCCACTGGTACCCTTTTCCCTTCTTTCAAGGTTTCCTTCTAAAGTCACCAACCCCAAAAAAGGGGTGTCTAGTACGGTCACTGTGCTAAACCCTAAAGCCCTAAAGCCCTAAAAAACCCTGAACCCTCAAAAAAGGGGAGGGGAGAAAGGGCTCCCTTCGAGAGCCCTAACCCCTAAACCCCAAACCCTAAACCCCAAACCCCAAACCCCAAACCCTAAACCCCAAACCCTAAACCCTAAACCCTAAACCCTAAACCCTAAACCCCAAACCCTAAACCCTAAACCCCAAACCCCAAACCCTAAACCCTAAACCCTAAACCCTAAACCCTAAACCCTAAACCCTAAACCCTAAACCCTAAACCCTAAACCCTAAACCCTAAACCCTAAACCCTAAACCCTAAACCCTAAACCCTAAAACCGAAACCCTAAACCCTAAACCCTAAACCCTAAACCCTAAACCCTAAACCCTAAACCCTAAACCCTAAACCCTAAACCCTAAACCCTAAACCCTTGCCAGGAGCTGCGCAACGCGCAATCCGAGACCGGGCAACTCAAGGAGGCCGGGGGATGAAGAGGACCAGGGTTTCGAGTAGGGTTTAGGGTTTAGGGTTTAGGGTTTAGGGTTTAGGGTTTAGGGTTTTGGGTTTAGGGTTTAGGGTTTAGGGTTTAGGGTTTAAGGGTTCAGCAGCTCCGGATCGAGCAGTTTTTTGCTAAAGTTATATTTCCGGCTCTGAGAAAACGCCCACCCACCCAGAGAATCCCATAACATTGAGAAAACAAAAACACCTAATATTATAAACGTCATGTTCTTGCCATTGCATCTCTGTGTTAGCCTTCCCAGGCCCTAAACCCCAGGCCTTGAGGCCCTGAAACCGTAAACTCCAGGCCTTGAAGCCCCGAAACCCTAAACTGCAGGCCGTGAGGCCCTGAAACCTTAAACTGCAGGCCTTGAGACCCTGAAACCCTCCCCAGAAACCTTAAATTCTAGGCCTTGAGGACCTGAAACCCTAAACCCAGGCCTTGAGGCCCAGAAACCCTAAACCCTTGAGGTCCGGAGAAACCCTAAATTCCAGGTCTTGAGGCCCTGATACCCTAAACGCCAGGCCTGATGCCCTGACCCCAGGCCTTGAAGCCTTGAACCACGAGGAAATTGACTTGAACCACGGAAAATTGCCTTGAACCACGAGAATTGGCCTTGAACCACGGAAAAACTGCCTTGAACCACGAATTCCTTAAAGTTTCAATTATTTTGTGATAGAGAGGTTTGGGGTTTAGGGTTTAGGGTTTTAGGGTTTAGGTTGGCGGGGGGGGGTGTGGAGGGAATTGAGCCCTACGAGTGTTTTCGGGCTGTCAACACAGTGGTTAGAGTATCAGAGGGCATAACCCCACTTGTTCTAGGGTTCGTTTGGGTTTAGGGCCTGGGGCCTAGGGTTTAGGGTTTAGGGTTTAGGATATAGGGTTAGTTTAGGGTTTAGGGCTTAGGGTTTTGAAAAAGGTTAGGGGCCAAACATGCGAGGGCGATACGCAGGCGTAAGAAGATCCACGTGTGATCCCGTTCAAGCGTTCTTCTCATCATACGCTGATGTTGCAGCAAGGCCCCCCCCCTAAACCCCTAAATCCGTAAACCCTTAACCTTAAAACCCCAAAGACCCTAAGCCCTAAACCTTAAAGCCCCCAACACCCTAAGCCCGAAACCTTAAAACCCTCAACCCAAAGCCCTAAACCTTAAAACCCCTCAACACCCTAGGCCCTAAACTTTAAAACCCCTCAACACCCTAAGCCCTAAACCTAAAAACACCTCAACACCCTAAGCCCTAAACCTTAAGACCCCTCAACAACCTAAGCCCTAAACCTTAAAACCCCTCAAAACCCTAAGCCCTAAACTTTAGAAAACCTTCAACACCCTTAGCCCTAAACCTTTGTGAGATGTACCCCTATTTACTCTCTTGTATAGTGTAGCCGAGGTCGTGTCGCGTAGGATTTGGTTGTCTTTAGAACTTTGGGTGTAACTTCCGTTTCGCAGACGTCTTGAGCGCTCGAGCTTGCAGCCAAAAAGTTCCAGTGGACCGCACAAACCCAGTCTCAAACGCGGGCCCCGCCGGAAATCCGGCCGGCCCAAACTGGTAGCGGAGCTCCATCCCACCACGGTGTGGCGATGAGGACTTTAGCAGCGTCACAGGAGAAGATCTCACACCATCTGAGAAACAAGTCGACATGACTGAGTGCGCAGCTCGTATCCTCGAAGGACTCCGTGGTGATGCATTCCAGACTGCGGCTTAGAGCGCCTGAGTAAGTACGATGGCATAGACCATTTGATTAAAAGAATTTGTAGACGAGGACGTAGACCGAATCCACGAGGAAACGGGCCATGCCCGGCGAAGGCGCCAAAGGCGCCAACAAGGGAAAGAAAGAAAGCAAGGCCATGTCCTTAGCTGTTGGTGAGACGAAAGTGTCCTTAGTTGAGTCAACAAATCAGGTGATTGAGTTTGGGCAGGGACAACAAAGGGACGAAGCCACAAAAAGCCCTGACATGAAAAGAAGAAAGGAAGGGCAGAGCAAAATGCTCAAGAGCCCATGTTGAGGAGCCCCACAGGCATGCCTCAGCATCAACAAGCAGGTTCCTACGGCCTGCGAATCCTAAGTGTCGTTGCACGAACTTCGGCCAGCCAAGACAGCACCTTGCTGTCATGAGAATTGGCTCCACGTCTGGCCGTGGGCCAACCAAGCCGCGACAGCAGAACATCACCACAAGATGCAGCTGTTATTTCAGGAGGCCGCATACTACATTCCCATGTACAGTGATCCCAGGTCGCTTGCTCCGGCGGGCAACCACAGTACGGACACCCTAAAACACTGCTGGGTTTCATCACTTTGAATTTGGCAGGGGAAACAGATGCTCCAGAGAGCACAGCAAATTCATGAGAACTGAGCTGCTTCTTCTGCAGAAGCTTGAGGCGTTTTGGATCATAGACGATGCCCCGACACCTCCCAGAGTCGATCCTACCCTGATTAAGCCACTTGCCTAAACAGGGTAGACCATTTGATTGAGGCTATTCGTGCACAAGTTTTCCCACTACAGAGTGAACAAGCGTCCGAACTTTTCCGGACGGATTGGTCAGCAACGGGATGGGCCCCCCTCTCACGGCACAGCGATGAGAGTATGCTTTCCTACATCAGCCGCAGCAAGCGTTGGTGGGTTGCACAGCGTAAACTCGGGTCTAGTTTGATGACAACCTGCTCATGCGTTTTATGGCAAAAGTTTGCTCTGTTCTTAAATGGTGTTTTCTTCATGACGGCACCGCTTTCGCACGCCTTTGACATCCTCAAGCGTAGTGGACCCAATGGCATTTACATCAAAGAGAAGGTCAGAGATGAGCGGGACGCCAACTGCGTGTCTGCGCTCATACACAGCTCTCATACACAGGAAAAGAATTACGAGGCTGCCCTCGAGAAGGCCAAGCAGCTCCCTCACTTTTGCGGCGTTCATCGCAGTAACACTGGCAGCAAATCTTTTCGCTTCCAACCCGAAGGCATCGAGAATGCACGGCGCACCCTATGCAAAGCAGATGTTTACTGACTTCAACATCAGTGCGGTTACCAAATTCTACTACCAACTCTAGGGACTTCCGATCGGTACAACATCAGCAGCAGTTGCTCGTGGTCTCAAAGCTTGGGGCTGGTGCGTGATCCCAATCAAGAGTTGGGCCATCAACTCTGAGTATGTCATTTTTCTCGTTGGCAGCTCCGACGAACCACCTGACGCTGAGTGATCCTTGGGCCAGAGTTGAGAAAGCCAACATCACTCCTGACCTGCCACAGTCAGCCCCGAAACAACCTCCTCCGATGGCAAGCCCGCCGAAAGTTCAGCATGTCGTGGAAGAAAGAATGCAACACTTGGAAGAGACCGTCATGAAGAAGGTGACATCCTTATTGCACGACCTTCGAACCGATATCCAGACCCAGATCGTCTCCAACCAGCAACAACAAAGCCAGGGTGGCGACCATCAACAGGAAGTGCGCGACCTCATTGAACAATTTCGCCAGGAACATCAAGGTACCCTGGATGAACTTCGTGCCCGTCAAGATACCATTGAACAGACTATGGGAGATTATATCCAGACGCTTCGTGACCAACAGAGTGCTACACAAGCTCAGCTCAACGAGAATGCCTCACAGTTGAGCTCAGTGGCCTCGCAACTTCAGCGGCTGAACCAGCAGCAGTCGGACATGGAGCAGCGTATCCTACCAGCAATTTCGGCACAAGCCAGCCCTCCTCGGAAAAAGCGTGCTGATGAAGAACAGCTTTGACTATGCGATCCTCACCGCACCCTTTCAAGTGTTCACACACAGATCTCCATGCTTTTCTTCGGCAGGCTACCCTTTCTCCGCGACTTTCGATTCGCCTTTTGCTTGTTTCCTTTTGCCTTTCTCCCATTTGGGACTCTCCCATGACAGGTCCCGAATTTACCAGCGACAGCATTTCTGATGGGCCAGACTGCCACACTACAACCATTGTTTCTGCCAACATCACCTGTATGCGGAAAAACTGGACCTTGGTCGAGCGACTACTACTTTCTCCAAGAGACCACGCTCAACGCCAGCGGCCAGAAGACCTTTACCAAATTGCTCCACACTTCAGCTTACCAAAGCTTGTTCAGCAAGCCCAGTGATTACAAGCTCAGTGGAAAACAAAAGACTATTTCTTTGTGGAATGCACGCTCCGGTGGCCTGGCTAGCGTCGCTCGCCTTCCCTGGTTTATTCCACGCATATTGCTTTTGCCAATGGACGTTTAATGCAAACCTGGCTGCCCACCTACAATGGAGTACGTGGGTTTTACATTTTCAACCTGTATGGCCACGTTGGAGCAGGACCCAAAAACCTTCAGGCCTACAACCTCAACGGGAAATTTCAGCTGACGTCTTCGAGTACCACCTTAGGTGACTTGCCGATCATCGTCCTTGGCGACTACCAAACCAATCCTGATGAATCCTATGCATTGGGCTCATTGACCCACCATTGCTCCTGGCATGCAAAGATGCCATGCTTCCGCATGTGCGCGAGTTCCGGGATTCCGGTCTGCCTGGCCACTGTCCTTTGCAACTTCGTTTGGGATTTCCGAAGCAGATGGACTACAAATACGTTTACCGGCTTGCGGCGCCGCTTACAACTTTGCAGCCAGCTCGCGATGATACCCTTTGTGACTTCTTGGAAAAGTATGTCTGGGCTCCACAACAACAAACTTTTCTGGACTTTTTGGATGGTGGTCACATTGATGAGGCTTTCAACATCTGGACCACCGCGTGCGAGACCTACTGCCTTCACCTTGCCAGTGACCAAGAGATCTCCTTTAACAAAAAGCATACTGGCAGAGGACGTCACCCTAAGATTGTAAGCGTTCCTGTTCAAGCTCCTCAAGGTGATCATACTTTTGGTGCTCACACCACTCGCATTGCCAGCATGCTCAAACTACAGAGGCGTATCAACCAGCTCCGCCTCAAGAATCCTACCGCACTGGTAATTGGCTCGCCCGCCCACAAGCAGTTCTACGACCTGAAGACCAATATTTGTGACTCATGGCTGCGTTTGTTCAATGAGCCGCCTTTTTTCGTTCGGACACCTTTATTGATGGAGTCGTTATCAACAAAGTCCTCGATCGGTTGCACCATCGGATTCATACCCTTCAACATCAAGTTATTAATGAAAGGCTGGACCGACACAAACAACGCCTCATCCAGGACTGGTAGGGCACAAGAAAGCTGACTTATCGATGGCTCAAAGACTCCGACCCCTATGTCGCCCCTTGTTTTAAAGTGCCATCGGGCTTCGTCACGAAACATCGCGAGCTTCACAAGATGATGATGGACACCTGGAATCCCATTTTCAACAGGTATTTGAATCGTTCTCCTCCCGACTATTCTGATTTCAAACGTGACTTTGGTCATATTCTTTCCGACCATCTTCCGTACAACCACTTCTCTCCATTTGAGGTTCCCCTTTTTGACCGTCATTGGTGCAACTTTGAAGACCATGCGACCCACTGCTGCGGGAGCCGACGCCTGGCACCTTCACGAACTTCAGTGCCTAGGCCCGAAATCGCTTGACAATCTGGCTGAGTTGTACAATGCCATCAAGTGCACTGGTATTTGGCCATCCTGTTTACTTGCGGTACCCGTTGCAACCATCAAGAAGAAAACCGGGGACATTGCGCGAGACATCCGACCTATCTCGTTGGCTTCACACATTTATAGACTTTAGGCCCGTGCTCGCTTTCAACATTTGCGTCCTTGGATGCAGTCCTGGATCCCAGACTCCCTTCGAGGAGGAGTGCCCAACCGTGAGGCAGCCGATATTTACTGCCATCTTGCTTTGGGTATTGAAATCTCCTCCCACTCCAGGGACACTCTATTTGGTATTCTTTTCGACTTCCAGAAGTGCTTTGACCATATCCCATGGAGCACCGAAAAAGGCCTACTTCATGATCTGGGCCTTCCTTCACACATCGCCAGACCGATGTATCATTTTGCAGAGAGCGTGCGACGACGCTTCAAACTTGGTTCTTCATTCTATTGGCCCTATCATCACCAACACCAACAGCATCATGCAGGGATGCCCGTTGGCGATCATCAGAATCAAATGCATTATTGCCGCTTGGAGCAACAGCATCGCGGCGCAATCCACTGGCAATTGCAAAGTTGGTGCCTTTATCGACGACAGAAGCATCCGCGCGAACTCTTTGTCGCAACTACAAGAGGCCATCCGTGTTACACAACTCTTTGACGCCGCCATCGATGCCGTCATCGAGCATAACAAAACAGTGGTGTTCGCCACGGACACCGCTGGTCGAAAGAAGGTACAAGAGGTCACCTACAAAAACCGCCTGTTCAATTGCTCCTGACGAAAGGCTCCTGGGTGGTCATCTTTCATTCTTGCCCGGAAACTTGCTGACCAGCGTGCCAAAAGCTACCTTCAGGTTGCCAAGCGTGTGTCTCTATGCCCTCTCAGCTTTTCCGCTCATGAGATTTTATTTTATACAGGCGGCGCTACGAAATACAGTTTTGGTCTGGAACTTGGGCCGTGTTGTGTGTCACTTGAACGCACATTGAGAGCGGCTATCCTACATGCCCTATGGAACAAACGAAGCTCGCGTTCAGCCGACATTGCATTTACCAGTTGCTTCACAGGCCACCTTTTCGACCCAGTCCAGATGAGTATGCGCACAACTCGCTACAGCAACTATGGGTACACATTTTTACTACCACCTCACAGAAGAGGTCCTCTATTCGGGGTGGAAGATCCAATGCTGTGGGACCGCTTGCAGTATTACAACAAGCAACCAATGCCCTGGGCTGGAATTGGTTGGAACCCTTCCTTTTTGAGGTTGCTGTTGGACACAGTCGCGTGATTCGTCTGCGTATTCTCCAACACTCTCAAGAGTATTTTTTCTGCATATCACGCGACTTGGAGCTTGCCGTGCGCTATGGTCTCGTGCAGCTTCCACACGGAAGGACATGAAAGGTGTCCAGATTGGCATTGACAAGCATACCACCCTCCAGATAGATGACCTGGGCATCCTTTGTGCCTTTTTTGCAGGCGCGGTGACCACTCAAGTGACACTTTACAAAACAAACAGAAGCGATCATCCCATTTGCCCTTGTTGTTGGTGTGAGGAAGAATCACACATCCACCTTTTCTGGACGTGCACCTTTTGGCAACGTATCCTTTACAAGTATTTCAATGATGAACAGCTGCGTTTATCTTTACAACTTCCGACTTGCACGCTTCGTACAGGTCTCTTTGTCATCACCGCTGATCAGGCAGACCACATTGTTGTACAACATCATAACCCCACTCACAATATTCCGTGGCCGCAGCACTCCTACCCGCACAACCTGAATACGCACAGAATGATGGTGGAGATCCTCCGTGCAAGGAACACAAGTGACACCACTGACCCACCTGATACATTCGATGTTGGTCACTTCAAGAAAGACAAGTCTCAGCCCGACTCCGAGGCATGTGGAAAAGGTATTTCATCCACATCCTTACATTCCCAAAGAAAGATTGACCACAGCCAACCTACTATTGATGAAGAAGGTCTTTGGCTCTCAACCTCATCCAGACCGGGAGGCTCGCGATACCAGTACGTTCAGCAGCCAAAGAGCACCAATATTTACAGGGCTATCATTCAAGCGGCTCGTGCAGTCAAAACCTTTTTGGAGCAGTGGGACAAAGGTCAGGCGCCCCACCACCAGGGGTCAGAAACGCACCGAGAAGCATACTGCCAACATCCAAAATACTCTTGACAAGCTGAATGTTTCTGCCGAGAGTGAAGGTCGTCACCTTGTCAGCGATGCACTTGAACCTTGTTGCGACGTTTGCAAGAAAACCTTCAGCAGATATAACATTTGCTCGAAGAAGCCAATGCCCAGCAGTATCTCAAAAGGTTGATTCGCGCGGTTCCAGTACAACTTTCGGCTACCAAACAAGCTGAGCTCAACAAGGTTCAACTACACAATAGAGATGCTTTGACCAACCACACGCACTATATCATTAATCTTGATTTTCCTACATGTTCTTGGTGCCACCGGAAGATGCCGAGATGGAAAGCAGGAGCTTTCACGCGAGAAAGGTGTGATGCTACCCCCTGCAGCAACAGCCGTCAGCGTCCACGTGTACGCTTACGGACCAAAACACGCTCTATTTAACCATCTGCGCGACGCCGATGATTGGTTTCGGCAGCTACCAAGGCATCAACTACACTGCCTCCCCGCTGCGTGCCTTTGAGAACGAACTTGGAGTTTCAACGGTCGAGGTAGCTCCAAAGGCAAAACAAACAAAGGCTCTCAGATGCAGAGTGCTCTCAACTCAGATAAGGAAGTGCAGTATATGGAGGAGGTACGCAATGCCTTACCAGAAGCAGCCAAACTCAGAATGATGCCCCAGCTTGTGCAAAGTGAATGGAGCGCCCCTATCCGATCCGACACAGACATGTCTGATGAGGGAGGCGTTTGCATTGTGCATAAGGACCAGGTGCCAACTGTTTTGCGGGCCGTGGGATACACCCTGGCTCCCACAGCTATCCTAACCACACAGCACACGCAGGCCCTCGGCCTCAAACACTATCCTTGCGCCAAAGTCACATGCCTCTTGCGCGTACGTGATGAACACGGGGATTTCATCGAAGTCACAGTGCAGAGGCATTTGATCCAGCTAAGCTTTGGGCTAAGCTTTGGCCCTCCTGTCACCATGGCCGCGGAAGGGGAGCAGATCCTGTTAGCTGTGCCTATGCATCGTGCGGTGATCAAAATGCCGGCCTGCTTTGGATGGACGCCCGAGGCCCTCACAGGCGCCTCTGTTGCTGCGATCCTTGCACGCCATGTCCCGGCTCCAGCTTGTGAGGATATCCTTGTGCGACAAGACCAGTCCGCAACTGCGATGATTCATGAATCCGTTCTCCCGAAACTTCTGCAATGCAGCGGCAAAGATGGGGTGTTTTTCAAAACACATGCCACTTCAAGCTACTTTCCAGAAATGCACATGCTTTGGCTCTCAGAAGATGCCAGTCTTGACCAGGCTTTGGACCTAGCCAGCAAGAACGACCATTGCTATGGGATCGCAGCAAAGAACGCTGCTCACAAGCCAAGATTTGCACTCAGGTTCCTTGATGTCAATGAGTTTCGCTCCGCTGCAAAATGGCTTGGGCTGCAAGACTCGTCAGAGTTGGGGAGGTGGAGGCTCAGTGGACTGCCAGTTCAGTGTGGGATGGCTGGCGCTCTCACGTTGCTTGAGTCCAGGCAGTGGCAGGTCGTGGAAATCTTATATTTCTCCGAGGTGCAATGCGTGTTTCTATCCAAAACCCCGGGAAACACCGGCCCTATGTTTTACCAGCAGGCTCAGGGGCGCCGTAAGCAACTTGTTTTCAAAGCCCTCAACACGTTGGCGCGACAGCAACTTGCCGATGCGAATAAAATGCCAGAGCTTCAGCAGCCGCTCCGCCTCAGGATGACGCACTTGCAGGGCGCCCCTCCAGGGCAGTTGAACGTGACAGGTGGCTCCCTCAGGTGGTGCCGCCGTTGGCAACTCGTGCTGCTGGAAAGGCAGATGAGGTCACCCCCAGGCATGAGGAGAAAGAAAAGCATCCTTCGAACCAGCACACGGGAGAAACACCCGATGCTCAGAGGATGCGCGTTAACTAAGCTCAACAACTGCAAGTCTCACCTTTCTTGCTTATGGTTCTTGCCTAGCAAAACCCGCAATCGTTACATGCACGCCATACAAGGCAATGCTGCGAGAGGCTGTGTGCGTGGCAGACGCGCTGCAGACCATGAGGCTGTGTGCGTGGCAGACGCGCTGCAGACCATGATGCTTCTCTCATTGCCTCACGCCACTTGGCACCATCGACTAGTCAGGGATCAGCACTGACGCAGAACGCTCACGAGAAGCCTTTTTCTTGCCTTACTCTTAATGCTGGGGGGTTCAACAATGCAGCCAAATGGGCCGCCGTCCGCACTCTCAAACAGGACATCATTGTCCTCACTGAGACTCAACTTCAGACTCACTCTTACCGCAACATCACTCACCAATTCAAAGATTTTCATTGCATTCACTCGCTGGGGAAAGATGCAAAGCATTTCACTGGGGTGACCATTCTTATCCGTCGTGATGCAGTTTGGGCTGTCCGTCCCGTCACCTGGCCTCGGAACCACCCATGCCGAGCTTTTTATGAAGACAATAGATTAGTCGCCGCGCAAGTTTTTCTAGGGGCTGGTAACATTTCCCTTTTCATTTTTGGGCTTTACGCTCCAAGCGGCAGCCGCTGGGAGGCGGCGAAAAGGAGATATCTCCGCAGCATGCTGCATGCTATGCAGCAGGATTTAGTTGAAAGAGGCCCGGTTTTGGCCGTCCTTGCCGGAGATTTTAACATGCCTACTGCAGAAGACACGGTCTTCGAAAATTTTTGTCAAGCCGGTCCTTGGCATGACTGCCATAAGTGTGCCACGCATGATATGCAAAATGCACCCACTTGTCACCAAGGCCAAGGCTCCAGAATTGACTTTATCCTTGCTTCATATTCTGCCTTTGACCTTGCCTCTCGCTATCGGGTGACACCCCTTGTTCTCTTTCCCACGCATTCCGCAGTGTGCCTTGACTTGCAGATACCGCGCGCTTCCCAGATGCGGCATACGCTCAGGTCAGCAGCAAACCTGCCTTCCTTAGTCCCCCCTAAGCCCGCCGACGCCTTGGTTTTTCCGAAAATCCCCAAGACGTTTAGTGCTGCCCTAGCCAGGCTGGACCTTGATGCCGCTATGCGCATATGGAACCGGCTTGCAGAAGATACGCTGATGGACATTGCCACCTCCCAAGGACACGTTGTTCAGTCCAAGGTCACTTTCTTCCACTCCTGGATCCTCGCAGTACGGTTATCAGAAGCAAGTTTTTCAGCAGCACGACGGAGATGCTTCAAGACCGCTGCTGCAGCATGAGGGGACGCAGGAGCAAGCAGTGCCTCGTGAACCAGCTGCTGGTAGGGACGCGGCAAGTGCTGGGTCACCTCATTCAGGAGAGACCAGGTGCGGTCACGCCTATAACCTGGTTGTGCTTGAGCGACTTCTTTAGCACGACAGATCGCCTTGTAGAGTCTGCGGTCTATCAGCGTGCTTGCTTGGAGGGTTCGCGCGATCTTCCTGATACTTAATGTCACCTCGCATCCACCACCCCTGCCTTGCCTGTTTGTTTTCGGTCGTGCACGACTGTGCCCCATTCCACGCGCATTGGTATCAATGCCTTGCATGCCGTTCAATCTGCGCTTGTTGATGTTTGGCAGGCACATATCACTGAATGGACACAAGCCTCGGATGACAATCAGCCGGGTGACGAGATGCCTCCCGAGCGGTCAGCTGATGCTCAGCCCCAGCAAGCTAGGCCTGTTGAACGGAAGGGGCACGGTCTGCATTCCACTGCATCCGGACGTACCTTCTGCGTCAAATGTGGTCGACAAACCCAATATCCCAAACATGTACGATCCAAAATTTTAAAAACTCCTTGCCCCTTCCCTAACTTGCCAGAAGCGGAATGGCTTTCAGAACCAGGCCACATGCAGTCGGCTTCTCGCCTGGACGAGCAAGAACGTAAACTTCGGCAAGACCACAACCAAGGCGGCCACACCATCCACTGGAACAGACAAACGGGCAAGGATCGTCGAAAGGCCAACTACGGCGAAATCTATTGCAGCAAATGTGGCCGAAGATGGGGATGGATGTATCGACATAACAACTTTCGACGAACTCAGTGTTTCGAAAACTCCGATGCCGTCAATCCTCCCTCTTCGTTCCAGAGGAATGAAGATGTGTCTGCGGCTGCGCCAGCTGCACAGCCTGCACATGTTCACGACCCCAGGGTCGGTGAGCGACCTGTAAATAATGATCCCACCGTTAATAACCCACCCGCTAGCCTGCAACCCAGAGCACGAAGGCGCCTCAGGTACAAGGCTAGCGCTGTGCATGCACCAAGTGCTCCCCAGGAGCGCAACACGACAACTCATCGGCGCAACGACACATTGCAGTCAGAGCAGAGAGCACATGTTCAGAACAGAGAGCTTCCTTCGGGCTCGCGAGACTTTCCCCGTGTGGGGATCGGTTGAGGGAGCCTTCCAGAGAGGGGGGTGTGCCCCGTCGCTCAGACAAGCCACTTCCTCCTTCTGGGATCCTGCAGGATCCCCTGCGTCAATACAGATGCTGCTTGCGAACATACAGGGGGTGAACGCAGTGTCTGTGACGAGACGGTGTTCGCAGTGCTTCAATAGCGAAACCCAGGATGACCTTTTCACACTTTGGATGCTTCATGGCATATATTTCTGCTAATTTTGGGCAGCGCATCGCCGAATTTGCAATCAGCAGGCACATGCTCTCAACGGCAATGGAAAAGGAGGCGCCAAAGGTGCCAAGGGCGATAAGGGCAAATCCAAGACCAAGAGCTACAGCACGCCGTCAGATGCTCAGTTTGCCACCCCTTTTCAGCCACAGTCTGATCTACCCAGTATGCTTGATGATGGTGGTGATGCACATTTGGTGCAAGCCATTCGTCATGCAATGCCCGTGGAGGCCCATTTGCGTGGCCTGCCCAGTTTACTCAGCTCTGAGTGGAGTGCCCCAGTACTTGCGCACACGCAGTTGTCATGCCAGGGTGGCGTTTCTTTGGTGCCCAAGTCTGCCATACCCGGGGTCGTTAGAAATGTGGGATTCACATCCCAGCCGACCGCGATACTCATCACACAATCTCCAAGCTCTTTGGGACTTGGTTCGTGCCCGCATTCGCAGGTTGAGTGCACACTCTTGCTTCATGAAGGCGCTGACAAAAGCAAGTTCGGGTCACTCGATGGTGCATCCAGCTTGGATTTGCTGGTCACGTTCTTAGGGTTGCGCAAGGCCCGAAGGTTACCATCGCGCAAACAATGTTGCGCATGGTTTGCAAGCAGCCGGAAGAGTTTGGTTGGCCGCCGCAGGCCAAAGCCTCACATGTCACAAGTGTCTTGGAAAGGCTGCAGATCAACTTGCTCTCCATCAGTGAAGTTCAGATTCGCTCTGATATCTCTTCTACCTTTCTGGCACATGCACAGTACGCACAGCAGATCCTCAAAGCTAGTGGAGCTCATGGTACTTTCTTCAAGGTTCACTCCAGCAGTCAGGCAGATTTCAGTTTGCAGGAGCCGGTGCTTGTTTGGTTGCCCGAATCCACCTCTCTCGAGCGAGCGTGTTCAATGTTGGAAGGTCTCGAGCGTTTGGGCATCCTGCGCAGGCGTCGCCGACCGCCTCACAGATTTGCAGCGCGTTTTGCCACCAAAGAGCACCTGCAGATCTTTTGCAAGAAGCACTCTTTGGAGGATATATCCGGTTACGGCAGGTGGAAGGTTTATGGAGTGCCTGTCACTGCGGGCATCCCAGGAGCATATCAGTTCCCCTTGGCCCAGAAGTGGAAAGTCCACGTCGTCGAGCACCTTCCTGTCGGACAGCGCGGCAACGACTCACCAGCACAGCTTTCCATGGGCACCGGTCATGCCACTCAGATTCTTTTCAAGGCCGTCAACTCGGTTGCCAAGCATCTCGCAGCAAGCAAGCAGGCTGCAGGCAGTGCGTCTATGCAGACAGATACGTGCACCCTTTCAATGGTCACAGAGCGAAGCAAGCAACAGCAAGCCTTCCTCCAGCAGATTGCCACTCCCAGGGACAAGAGGCCGCCGCAGTCCACTGGTGAAACGCCAGAAGCAGTCAGGCAACGCAATGCCTGAGATCCCTTTGATGGTTAATTAATGTCCTTGGCCCGTCGCTCGTCAAGCATTGCTGGGCCGAAGTCCTATGCGAACAACGTTCACGTTTTTCTTCATGCTCTACACGGCAACACGCCTGGAGTTTCTCCTTTTTCAACGTGCTGGTTGGCTTCATTCAACTCGGATGGTCTTTCCACTGCTGGCCGCTGGCAGACATTTTTGAGCTATGACTATGACATTTTGTGTTTGCAAGAAACTCACTTGTCCTCTGCGAAGCAAAAAGTCTTTACGAGCTCTACCTCTTTGCACTGCTTGTGGGGCGCGCCGGTTACTGGCAGCTCCAAGTGTGGTGTTGGCGTTGTGGTCAAGCCGACCAAATTTGCAAAATTTTCCCCCTTTCGGTGGCCCACAGATCACCCTTGTTTCCCTTTCTGGGCCGCTGGTTGTCTACAAGCCTTTTTTCTTTATCTTCATGACAATAGTGCTTTGGTCCTGTACAACATGTCGGGTGCTCGTGAATCTGCTTCGGCCACGCGTACTTTGCGACAGCTTCGGCAGCAGATTTCTTCTGATGCTTTCTCAAGAGCTTTACCGGCCATTTTGTTTGGTGATTTCAACGCGGAGAGTGAGGTAAACACCTACGTGCAATCCTTGCTGGCTTCTTCTTGGTGTGATTTGGCGGACATGAGCAATGGACCCAAGCTCCACACTTGCCACAAAGGCTCGGGTTCTCGTATTGACCATGCGTGGTGTTCTAGCACGGCGCGCTCCTTCCCGCTCTGCTACTCATTACAGGCCAATCCTTTCACCAACAAAGGGCACAGCATTTTGGAAGTCGCTCTGCGCTGCTCTTTACAGGCGGCCCCGCGCTTGACCCCCAGGAAGGCTTGTTCTTTTGGTCACTTGAAGCCATTCACGTACGCCATACCTGAAGATTTTCACTCTGCTCTTCGTAACCAGGACATTGATGCGGCGGCATCCATTTGGTCTCGAACTGCAGAACAAGCTCTTTTTCATTTACATATTCAACAGGATGGCTGCTATCTTCGCTCAGGTCAGCCTCGTGGCAAAATACAATTTGATTCGACACGCCAGCTTCCTCGTGTTCAGCATGAGCATGCTGACAGCCTTCAGTTGCGTCGACTCGGTCGTGCTTTTC